ATTTGATGTTAAACAACAACCGCTAACTATTGTATAACCAAATAGTTATATTTATCGAATCCGCTATTTACTATCCGTTACCCACTTTCCGCTATCCGCCATCCGCTATCAGCTAACCGCCACCCACTACCCGCTACAGCTATCCACTATCCGCTACCCGCTACCCGCTACCCGCTGAATTTTAACTGCTGTACCAAACAGGGCCTACACCTCGTTTACAAGAACCCTAATGACAATCAAGTAACTATTGATTTTAATATACTTAATAAACCTGAAATTACAATTTTTTATTTGTTTATTGTAGATTGGTAAATAATAAAACAAAATGAAGGAAAACACCACAAGCCCCATGTTTATTCCACATCAAATGGATTTACCTATAGGATGAAATCAAACTTGAGATTATTGAGATTCAAGATTCTTTAGACCTTTAAACTGCAGCTTTTAATGGCCTTTTGATTTCTTTATATTTCTTTTCTTTTTTTTATTTAGATTTTTTAGGATTTTGGTAGGATCTTTACCACCCAAAAAACCCTTTATATATGGATGGTGCCATGTCAACATATATGTGCCTATGTGGATTAGTGGAAGTGCAAAAAAGAAATGGAGTTGGTCCACCATGAATCTCATCGTTTGGCTCATTTGTGAGAAGGGCTTATTTGCATCATTCATAGAGTTGGAGGGCTTATTTGCTTCATTTTTAGTTTTAGGGCTTAAATGCTATTTTGGAGTAAGTTTAGGAGCTTAAGGAGGGTTTTTGCCTTTTTCTTCCATCTAGTAGGTACCTTTCTTTTTCTTTCATCTATCTCTGTGTATCCTCTTCCTTTGCTTCGTCTTTTTCTCTTTCCCCTTTTCTTTTCTTTTCTTTTCTTTTCTTTTCTTTTGGCTTTCGATTTGAGTTATTGAACAAACATTTTTTGCAGCAGTATTGCCGGAGAAGGTGCTTTGTCTCAAAGTATATGAACGCTGTCCAATACTACTCTGAAATGTCTGACCGAGAAAGTCTCACTTTAAAAGAAGTAGTGTTCACTTTACAAAAAAAAAAAAAAAAAAGAAAATGAAGAAGAAGAAAAAAGAAAGAAGAAGTTGTGTGCACTACCTTTCTTTAGTAAGTATTAAAAAATCAAAAAGTGTTGAACTTATTCACTCTTTTTTTTTCTTTTTCTTTTTTTTTAAATTTCTATTTGCACTTAATGTGTTATATTAGTTGTATTTCCTTATTCATAAGATAAGGTTGCATGTTTTTGTGGAGATGCAGTATGGCCATTAAATAAATAAAATTTTACTCTGAAAAGGGAAAATTAATGTACTGCTTTCAAAAAGCTAGTACATAGGTGAGATCCAATATAAATTCAAAGTGCTATTTATAATTAAATTTATTTAATTTGT